TTTTTCGAGGCAGGGTTTCTCTGTGGCTTTGGAGACTGTCCTGGAACTAGCTCTTGTAGACCAGGCTGGTCTCGAACTCACAGAGATCCACCTGTCTCTGCCTCCTGAGTGCTGGGATTAAAAGTATGTGTCACCAACACCACTCGGTGGCCAGTTTCTTAAGTTCATTGTATATTTTGTTGATTTTTAAATCAGCTTTTGTTATTGTTAGGTTTTAATTTAAGATAATTCAGCTGAGTACAATATTCAAATTCAAGGATTATTTTCTCTCAGCTATGTGCCCACTCTTAGCTTAGCTTTACCATTGTAATCATAACCCTTAAGTTTATCTGGTTGGCCTCTGTATTTGTTCATGTGTCTTTACAATCTTCCCTGCATCTTCTCACCACATTCTCATTTTGTCTTTTATAAGGTTTTGCTTTTTATTATTCCGGTGAGGAAAAACTCCAATATTATCTCAATAATCTTGCTTCTCCTTTTATATGCTGCCCTTTAAAAGCATTGATTAAAAATATTATGTTACTTATTCTGTCTTCCAGATCCAGCTTCTAACTTCCTATAGTTACTCTAGCTAAACTTTTTCTCCTTCTTTTAAAGTTCATCAGGTTAACTGTGTCCAACTGCTGTTTTGGATTATTGTACAAAAAGTTTTTTGAATTTGAGGACTCTTGATTGGTTTGCTCTTCAGTTTTGTTCTTACATTGCATCTGTTTGGCTGTTTTATCATTGTTCCATTGCATAAACCATAGGAAGATATTCTGACATTTGCATATATTCAAAGAAATGATTGAAAAATCTAGAGCAAAATGTTAATTTTTCAACAATTCTTTTAAACACTAATGGTTTTCCCACTCACTAATATACTAATGATGTGTAAAATCTTTCTAGTAATCCTGTGGTCATTTTGTCTTGCTGTCACACTCATGAGGTACATTGCACCAAAGAGCAGCTGTTCCAGAAAAGCGAAGATACTCTGTGTGGATTTTGTCTTAATGGTTGCTACATTTCTAAACTCTCACTTGATTACCTTTACAGTTTTTGCTGCCATGCATTTGTGTGTGTGTGTGTGTGTGTGTGTGTGTGTGTGTGTGTGACATGCAGGCATTCAACTGTCTTGTGATTTTGACATACATGTGAAAATTAAAATTTGTCATGCACTAGAGACTTTTGTGGTAAGGAAGGACTTTGCAGACTATATCATGTGTTTAGTTCAAGAGAGTTGGTTTTCCCCTGACAGAGGAAAGCTGACTTTCTGAGACACTTGCTCAGATGTATTGATATGACTTAACTGGAAAACAGATGTTAGAGTAAAAATATATTGTCTCCATATTTTTATTAAAGAGAAGAAAGACGCAGTGATATTTTTCCTACAAGTCCTTTGTGGACAGTTTTAGGGCTCTCTAAAACAATGAATTGTGGGCTTTAGTTATGGAAAAAATGAAGAAGTTGATTGCAAATGTCATACTGGTAACCCAAAATGCCATCTCGGTCAAAAACAGTCACAGGGATACAAAGTTTTGGTTGAGGTTGCCCAGATGTTTGCTCAGATAAAAATCACCCTCAGCTTCAGGCACTTTAGCCTTATACTTGAGTTTGTAATTAATTCGTATGCCCTTAAGAGTCCAGATTAGACTCTGAAGAGTAAAAGTGACTTAGTAAAATCATTACAAATCCTTATGTTGAGTGTATGCTGCACATCTAAGGAAATATCCAACATATTAGAAATATATAAATATTGATAATATATATGGAGTTTTGCTTTATTATCAAAGAAGGGTACATTCTCTATGCCATATGTTTAGTTCAATTAGTAAGCAATTTAAAATATCCTCAACAACAGAGAGATAAAACAAAAATATTTTATAAAACACGTCTTCTAGTAGAACAATGTTACATCCTCTAGAGGATTCCCAGAAATCCTCTGTTTTATTTGTAAGTTGCCTCAGGTTAAGATGAGCAAAGCGGCTGAAAAAAAATTCTATGTAACTGATAACAAAAAGCCAGTGCCGCAGGGTTAGAGAATGAATCCAAACCTCATTCTTGTAGCACTGCCTCTCTGCAGTGAGCCCCAGAAGATGGGGCAGGAGGAAGTACACCCTGAGTGAGAGGGAAAGTCTAATTGCAAAGAAGTGTTGCATTATTTTTGTCTCGAAAACAGCAAAAAGTAAGTATGCAGTTGTGTTGTAAAGTAAGTTCACATTCAGAATGTAGAGGTTTAGCAGCAATGGTGAGAAGAGAGTCCTACACAGGGAGCAGGTTGAGGATGTGAGACTGTAAGGATCATTGTAAAGGCCACACGGATTGAAGAAATGCTTCCAGACCTTGAAAGTGTTGTAGTCGCGAGGCACACTCCTCTGCTCCACAGCCCCATCACAATAAATTACTGGACTCCAGGTCCTCTTCTGCTTTGTTAGCAAGTTTTGTAAGTTTGGAGTTTTCTACTTTAATGACATTTTCCCATAAGAAAGAAAGAAAGAAAAAAAAAAAGCCTAGTTTGCTAGCTTGTGTTGAGTGGGAAGATATTTTGATTCCAGTAGAGTGAAGAAGCGGCTGCTTGTAATGGTCAGTACTGGAGCAAGTTCATGCCCGAGGCCCGTGGAACTCTCAGTACTTCCACCTTCTTTCCTACATTCACAGACCAGGCTGCATTTTCCCATAGCCACTGTAAGGTCAAGGAACTGATGACCAAAGAACCCTAGAAGTACTAAATACTAGAAAACAGCAAAATGAAAAAAGAGGCAAGTCCAGGGGTAAGCGCTCACATGTCACAGATAGTCACTAAAATGTTGCCACTATATACTCATAATCTCCACAATTTATAACAGTTCATTTTAGTAGGTTTCTCTTTTTAAAATGTCCCTGTGTGTTGAAGACACCCAGTTCACTACTGAAAGAAAAGCAGTGTGGCGACCCTCTTTAGTGGCACGAGATCCACACTTAATCAGGTTTCGATCATTTTGTGGAGCCTGCATTTGGAGTGATGGTAAAAAGACTTGAGTTTTGTTCTCATATTCCATTAAAATACTGTTAATTGTCTGTTGAAAAGTGTTCAAGTCTGCTGGTTTGGGGGAAGGGTGAATTATTATATTTCGCATAAGTAACAAATCAGCACTTAAGACATCAAACAGCCCATTTGTTAATGACACACAGTACTTTCTCCTAACTAGACTTGGGTGGTACCAACCGCAGCAGCAATCATTCTCACTCAAATCATGGTCACCTCTGCCAACAAGACTTCTACCAGTTCTAAGGGGTTACTGCTGAATCATTGACGATTACTCTAATTTTGATGATAATTGTTGCTTCAGGTTCCGTAATGCCGCAGCAGTTAGACATTAATGATTATGCGTGCCCTAAGAAGTGTTGATAAGGGAATGAGATTACAATCTTGTACAATTTTAGCTGACAAATTAAAGTGTAAATTAGGTTTTCCCTTAGACAGAAAATAAGTTACCTGAGAAGCCAAGTGTATGTGAACCTTCGGTCATTCTCCATTTTCTTTATCCTGTTTTGCAGATATTCAGAGCATCAGAGGGTTAGCGGTGGACTGGGTTTCACGTAATTTATACTGGATTAGCTCAGAATTTGATGAAACACAAATTAACGTGGCCAGGCTAGACGGCTCTTTGAAAACCTCAATTATCCACGGAATCGATAAGCCACAATGTCTGGCAGCTCACCCAGTCAGGGGGTAAAGTATGATTTTTTTTAAATTTACAACATTTTGGACTTTATCTCAGATTTTACATAAAACGATTGTTTAATTCAGATGATACATATATTCAGCATAGAGTCAAAATGTAAATTAGAGTATGAAAATTGTTAAAGAAACTCAGAGTCCTGGTTAGAGAATTCTATCCAAATGAATGCAATTTGTAAGCTCTCATTAGTGTGTTTTTAGGGAATGAGAGTTTAGAATAAAAAGAGTTGTGGAGGAAAAGCAATTTCATTTTGAATGCTGGATGTGAAAATTTTCTACGAGTGGTCACTTCTCCTGTCTCTGGTGGGTAGAGGTGCCTGTGTGATACCACAGTTTTCAGGAATGGTTGAAATGAGTTTCTTCCCATCTACAGATTCTAATACCTTCTCAGCCAAGAGGATTCAGGTTTGATGAAGGACAAAATGAGAGCGGTTTGCTGTAGGCTTGGTTAAGCATCAGATTTGGATGTAGATGGAAAATGAGAATAAGATGAAATTTTTCTAAGAAAGGAAAATGCAAAAGACATGCTTTCCTCCTAGGAAAATGCACAGGGGCCCAACACTTTTAGGACTTTTGGAAAAAGAATTAATCTGTTGCCTAGAATGTTTTCTAACTTCTTTTGTTGCCACATGCTTCCTTTTAATAAATGGATCTGAATATAATATCTAATCCATATCTTTTGAATTAAGGAAACTATACTGGACAGATGGAAATACAATAAACATGGCAAATATGGATGGGAGTAACAGCAAGATTCTCTTTCAGAACCAAAAGGAACCAGTTGGTAAGTATTTTTTTAATATTAATAGTAACAGGTTTAATGTGATACTCTTGCATGACTTAGAACTAAACACTTAAAAAATTACAGATTAATAATACATAATAATAATAACCATTATCAAGTTGATTGGTTCCCATGGAATCGGTTTTCTCTGCATGAGATTTCTTTTGTGTGAGGGAGGGGTTGCTATTAAACTTCCTTAGCACACAGACTGCCTGAGTGTCTCTGTGGCAGCTTCCTATGTGCATATTATGACATTTGATGCTTCCACTTGTTCCCCTCCCTTCCCAACTCTGCCACTCTCTTCCTTCTGTTTTCATTCTGTTAGAGTACCCTTCCCCTTTTACCCGAGTTAAGGGTTCTAATATTGCACTGAAAGCCAGAACCACAAGCAATTTGCAGAGGAAAGGGGTTATTTCACTTCCACTTCCACATCACAGTCCATCATCAAAGGAAGTTAGAGCAGGAACTCAAGACAGGAAGCTGGAGGTACGACCCAATGCAGAAGCATGGTTGGTTGCTTTTTACACGAGCACTGAGTATTTAACCCAGGTCTTAATGTTCCTGTGCCAAGCACTTTGCTGACTGGGCCATCTCCTCAGCTCTTAAAGGGAATTTAATTTATATTTCTTCCATTGTTAAGGATGTTGAACATTTTTCCCCACTGTTTATTGGCAGTTTATTTCTTTTCCTGAGAACTATTAATTCAATTTATTAGGCTGTGTATTGATGAGATATCTTGGCTATTTTTATATTGAAGTTTTGAAGTTATTTACATATTTATGCAATAACTCCCTGTCTAGTATGTAATTGGCATATTTTTTCTCCCAATGTGTGGCTGTTTCTTCACTCTGATAGTTGTTTCATTTGTTACACAAGACTTTTCCAATGTCATCAATCCTATTTGTCAATTCTTAAAGTTATTTCCCTTTTAGAAGGTCCTTGTCCAGACCTACACTTGATGTTTTATTTATATTTCCTTCTAGAAGTTTCAGAATTCCAGGAATTACATTACTATGCTTGATGCACTTTGAGTTCACTTTGTACAGGGTAGAGATATGGGTGTGCTACCACTTTTCTGGTTGCAACACTTGTTGAAAAGGCTATTTGCTTCCCAGTGTATGCTGTAGGTAAAATAGGTTTCAACACAGGAAAAGTCCTCATGACCCCACCAAAAATTACTCTTAAAACTTGTAATATAATTTTAACAAAATAGGAAGATAAAAAATCAAGATATAGCCTTCAGTAGCTTAGAAGAATGTTCTTGCTTAGTATGTAGTAGGCAAACCTAACACATGCAATGGGAAGACTCAATATTATGACACTGAAGAAAGACACTGAAGAAGACAAAAAGATGGATATACTTTCAATATTTATGTAGTTAGTGACCAATAATGAAAAAATAAATTTATTGCAGAAGTGACCTACATATTTAATATAACGCCCATCAAAATTCCCATTACATTCTTAGGACTAAAAAGTTAATCTGAGAATATCCATGGAAACATACAGAATCCAAAATAGCCAAAGCAATTCTAGCAGGAAGGGAGGAGCTAAGTATATCACTGTGTCCAATCTCAGACTACAACATAGAGCTACAATAAAAAATAGAGATGTAGAAATAAACCTAATGAATTCTTAAGGGCTGTTTGGTTAGGACTAGGATCCTATTTAGCACAAGAACTAATTAACAAGTGAAAATTGTAAAAGTTTGGTTAAATTCTCATGAACATGTGGGTCTTCTGGTGATCGTGAAGTCCTAAGAAATGTTCAGGTATAATACTTAACTTTAGACAAAGAACAGCTAATTTGGAAGGAATGTGCAACAGGGGAAATATGTGCCATGACTGTGTTACATATATGTAACAGATATATGTAGATGAGATATATGAGACATGGAACAACTCAGAGTTCATTTATTTGGAATCTTTGTAACCAAGTTTCTAATTTGTAGTGATCAGAATCCTTACATCTTGATCCATGAAGGATAATGTCATCAAGCACTATGTATGGAAGCCTTGTTGTACAAAGGACAAAATAGGTCAGCAGCCCATTTAAAGAAAATCAGAGTTTCTCAGATGAATTAATTAGAAAAATTGTTATGTCAATTCATCATATTTTCTCTGAACTACTTCAGAGGCAAGGAGGGAAGATGCTTGTCATTGAGACAGAAAAACAAGTCTTTTAATCTGAAATATTATTTTGCATCATATTTAACACTTGATTTGTTAAAGCAGAGCAATGTTGACATTCTTGAGCTGTTCCTATAAAACATTCTTAAAATCACAAAAATTATTTTAGAAGGTAAATGTGCATATATATATATATATATACATATATATATATGTATTTTAGAAGGTAACAGGTATATGTGTGTACTAATATACTTTCTTTACCTCCATGTTTCTTGTCTCATATTTTTATATCTTTGTGAGACAAAAGTATAACATTTGTTTGTAATTTTACAGCATAATTTCAAAAATGCATGATAACTTGACTTTGTTTGCTTCTATTTTAAATATGAAAATTACAAAATATACAATAGAAAAATCAGTTTGACTTTGAGGTGTATATAGAATACTTTAAACTTTAAAAAGTAATATAAGCTGAAGTTTTTCATCAATAGCTTCATTAATGGTTTCTTCATTTTTAAAAATGTGGAAATACACTGACTTGATGTAGCTCATTCCCTATAGTAATAATTTCAAATAAGTACAGTACCACTAAAGGTTGAAATCATGCCTTTTGTGTAGCCTTAAATAAACCATTTTGTGTAAACAATATAATTACTAGTTCTATTCTTTATACTATTTGTTTTGAGATTTGTACACAGTTGAAATGGAGGCTAGTGTTAGAAATCTGGGGCATACTGAAATGCAAATCCTTCTGTAACAAAGACGGAGCAGAAGAAATGACTTTACAAGGTCCAGCTCCATACACAGGACTCCTTTTAAATGGAGGAGGTTCAGCTGCTGTTTGTCAGGGGCAGCCTAGAATGTTCAGAGCTAAGAGCTTTGATGAGAAATCAATCTTTACACTATAATTTGGCAATCATGGGTTACATTAAATACAAATTTATATGCTTGAAGACTTTGCCTTAACCAGACCCCTATTAAAATATTGAAATAAAAATACCACAAAAGCCTGCATGTTATAAAGGACATTTGTTTAGAAGGGTGAATGGGGGAGGGTGAGAGGAGGGCAAGTGGAAGAGTTTGAATGAGGGAGAGTGTGATGGGGGAGGGTGAGTGTGTCTACATGTCCTTTGCATTTGCTTCATGAGATGCTGTGTCCTGCATGCTACTATCACTGCAGTGACAAATGCTGGAAACCTGCTCCCTTTCTGTTATTGTTGTCTCTGGAAATGACTTTAAAATAAAATTTCAAAACACTTTTATAAAATGGGAAGCTGTTTTACTCCTCTGCCTGAGGTTTTCTCAAGCAGCCTATCATGAGTAACATGTCTGGGTTGGTAAGTGACAAACCTTCTCCATCCATAACTACCCATACAAATTGAGTAGCCTGAGCCCTTCAACAATTGAAAAACTTTCACATTTCCAAAAACCATTCCTGATGCCACATTTGGGGGATATAGTGTTTCAGACAATGTTTATGTCTCATAAAACAACAAATCTATGTTTATCACTACAGTGACAATTATTGACAATCTGTATGACTTTAATGCATAGCTTATTTTGTAGAAAACTGTTTCAATTTCTATAAAATGGAGATATTGGTACCTGATATGTGATCATGTGGAGTTACAGATTTGGAGCAACATCTCATGTTTCAGCAATATGATCCATATTTAGTTGGTGCTCCAGGACATTCTTAGACTTGCCCTGGGACATTAAATTCTTGCTTTTCATAGCATAAACTGGAAATGGCATAATTATCTAAGAAAACAATATAAATAAATATGTGTAGCATGTTCACTGCTAAAATCTGAGATACAAATCAAGCCTGGTAAGACCTTCTTAGTATTCAGTTCTGGATGATGAGCCTGGAGGTGTTATATCCACCCCACAGAATGCTAGCTCCTCTAAATGTGACCAAAAACTACTCTGTTTTTAAAGCATCTGAGTTTTTTGATGTTGTTGTTAGGGGCATAGAAAATAAAATTTATCTTAGTATTAGTAATGCATCAGATGAGAGAAGGAAATGTTGAAATGAAAAATAAAATATAGAGAACTGTTTACTGCAGGTCCTTCAGTTAGTCAGTTGGTTAGGATGTGGACCATCAATATAATTTCTGCTCAGTGAATAGTGCAAGATTTTATGACAGGAGTTTTTCAATCATTCGATTTTTCTAGTGAAGAGATTTTGTATCTTTCAGGAAGTTTCTCAGGTGAGCAATATTATTACCTACAAAATTTTTTAAAAGGTTCTAAAATGCTTTTATATTAGTTTTATAGTTCTTTGAAATAAATTCAAAGACTTCACACATGCTTGGGAAGGTGTCTACTACTTAGCTAGACCTAGCGTGTATTTCTTTTGTACATATTTTCTGGAAGTGGTCTTTTATAATACGGAATTCTAACCTTAAAGCCACATGTATATAGACAGCTTGATGTGGCTGGAGGTTCTTTATCCTGCCTGCCAGTTTCCAAATATACACCCAGAAACTTACTATTAATTATAATTGTTGGGCCAGTGGCTAAGGCATATATATAACTGACTAACTCTAAAAATTAGATTAACCCATTTCTATTATACTATATTTTACCAAAAGCCTCATGGTTTTTTTTTACCTCACATCTTATCTCCCCAGCAGCTACATGGCATCTCCCTGACTCTGCCTTCTTTGGATTTCCTGCCTGGCTATCTCTACTTGGTCACTGGTCAAAACAGCTTTTCAATCAATAAAAGCAACACATAGTCTCAGCAAACAAAAGGACATCTCTTATCATCTCCCCTTTTCTGTCTAATTAAAAAGGAAGGTTTATGATTGACATAGTACAATTAATTATAAAAAAATAGTTATCAAGCAAGAATTATAGTTA